ACAAAATAGATTTGGTGTCAAGAGAGAGCAAACGGCCAGTTCGAGGACCCCTCAGGTCAATGGCAGGACTAAAGGCCTTCGATTATTTACTTGTATTTACTTCCTTTTGAAGCTCAGTTTTTTTTAGGAAGGTGGTCTGGGTAACATGAAAATCCCGCTGTTGTCTGATTTTACGAAGGAAATAGCAGCGAATTATGGCGTTCTTGTGGACGCTGACGGCATAGCATTGAGGTATTGCCCATCGTGCGATGTTGCACCAATGATATTATGAATACTATGTATTTTTAGAGGCTTATTCCTAATTGATCCCGAAGGCATTATCAGACATGTGACCGTAAACGACCTGCCGGTTGGCCGTTCGGTGGATGAAGCCTTAAGAGTATTGAAGGCGTTTCAGTATGTAGCAAAACATGGTGAAGGTACGTTTGTGCTTTAGCTATTCCTTTGCTATGCAGACAGCAGTCGCTTAGAAGTTTTGATCTGGTTTATGATCTACTGTATTGTAACTCTCTGTTGTCATGACGTTTTTTGCCAAACTTTCTGACTTAGAAGGTTGTCGATTTTTGTTATATTGCAAGGTGCCAACTCGTCTTCGAAACTTGTTGTCCATTCAGTGTCATTGGTTAAAAATATGGGTCTTTTAATTAAGTGGCTATAGGCACGAAGGAACTTCAAAGACTTTTGTTTAAAAACCTGCCTTTTGGACAGCAGTAACGTTGTCATTCGTTATCATTAATGAATGATTACGACTGGAATGGTGGCGCAAACGAACAATACTGATGCTTGCTCTAACGTTGACAAACGTCTTTTTGTCTGAAACTTCGGTCTTCAGTAGATGCTTTAAACTTTGTCCACGTGATCATTGAACTGGAAGAATTGTTCAAGAAGAACCCACTGTTCAGGAAGAACTCACTCACTAGATAACTATAAAGTTAATCAGATAATAAACTGTGTAACGGTTACGTGACAAACCAAGGACCGATTTGTTTCAGTATATTGTTCTTCTGGCCTTATCATCCCTTTAAATCTAATTAGTAAAACTTGTTTGATTTTAGATGGTCCAATCCATTATTAAAACTCTGAACCTCTGGCGGGCTTTGAAAGCAATTGTTTGATTTGGGTAGATGATAGATTGTTAGAAGGTAATTTCTCGTTGAATTTGACCCTTTCTCACGTTATGAAATGTGGAAGACTGCTACTGGTTCGCGCACCAACGCAAAGTATTTTCGAGCAGTTTTAAATGAAGGTTACCTATCGAAAACCGAAAAATGCATAAAAACGGTTTATTTATACATAACGCAAACGAATAGGTTAGTCAGTCGGGTGATTGACTAGTACCAACGTTTCGACTCGTCTTTCTTTCATGAGGCGTTTATTTCTTCCGGGTGGTCCGGGTTGATTTCTGCTGTTGGTTAATGTGTGGTCTGCAGCTGTTGTGGCGTTTTGTGACGTCAGTTTTTCGCCAGAACGTGTTGTATTTCTTATTTCTTTTAAAAGTTGCATAATTTCCAATTGAGAAATTTCATAGAGCATACTTTAATTCAGCTGATCCTTTTCTTTACTATTTTACTTGCTAACAAGGTCAATTTCAGTTTGTCCGGCCAACTGGAAGCCAGATTCGCCTACCATTAAACCATCTCCGGAAAAATCGAAAGAGTATTTCCATAAAGTGAATTAAAAACATGTTTCCCATTTTCAAATCTTTGCCTCCTTCATATAATCCGTTGTGATGTTTTGTCGTTTCGTACGTGTTTTCTAATATCATAATTCGGTAGACTTCATGTGTGATTTATCTTGTAGCAAAGAAAGTCTTTTGGTACAGTTCAGTAAAATTTCTTATTCGATGTTTGCATACTGGATTGCCAGAGACAATCATTCTCTTCTCCGTGAATAATATTCTGGAAAATGATGGATGAAATTTCATGTTTCTTGTCTCGATGAAGCGAATCTAACGTTTGATCTGTTAAATGTGTTGAAATTTATGCCTATGAAGTGGACTTTCAGTCATTTCTGCCGGAACTGGTGGATGATGATGATTCAGTTCACCCCAGCCGGTCCGCCAAATATCACAGTATTGTCGTTCATTGTCGCTTATCGCAGTTTCTTTTCCTAATGGTTCTTAAACTGGCTGTAAGTAACGCAGCTCATCTTGGCATTCAGAGAGGATAAATTAAAAAGAGGGTTTGCATGACAACAGAATATTGCGGATCCAATGCTATTTCCACGCTGTTATGTGATGCTAGGCCTTATGTAAATTGAAATTGTCGACCACTGAAATAGTATGATTTGGTGCTGACAGCTTTTATGCCTTGTTCAGTTTTCTCTTAAACATTGACCACGAACTTTTAAAGATCGACGTTGTTAAAGTTAATCCTTTAAGAAGGGGTGGTGAAATCTTTTCCTCTGCGCCCTGAATTAGTTCTGGCGATTGGTCGGGTATTCTAATGAAAGCTCTAGAGAATGCTCGGTGCATAAGTTGTCCAGGACCTCAGAAATTGAGATAATGACTTGGTTCATACGTTATGTCATCATCTCTGTTATCCGGATGTGGCATCTGTCGTATCAGACTAAAAGCGATTAAGTGCTTTTTGCTTTCTGAGGACCCTTTGGCTTTAGGTCATGATTTAACAGCAACAAGATGAAATGTTTGCATGTTACGCTGGTGCTGGCTTCTTCACACCTCACACTGAGTTCATAACACAAGAAAAGTCTTAACTTTCAACAACGGTCTCTAAACCATCGGTGCGTTGTCTGTTGTTTGCATACCGTTAAAAGTTTGCTCCCTGTAGGATGCCCATATTTCAAAAATGTTTCTGTGTTTCTTTTATGTTTTTTAGTTTTATTGATAGATGCAGGTAAGTAGTAGTTCAGTGAGTAGGCTTAGTAGTTCTGATCGTTCGAAAGTTCGGTAGCATGAGTATCACTTCGGCTTCGTTTTAGAGCCGCTGAAATGGAAACGTTTGTCGTTCTCCGTTGCGTAATCTGTTTTGTGGCATAATATAAATTATAATGTTTAAATATGGCTCTTCGGTTTTTGTGGTGTTCTCCTTTCATTGGCTTCAGTCATTTTTTTTTCATTTATAGCAGGATTTACAATAGAAAATGGAACATGTTTCTAGCTCAGAAAATAGAGATAATTTGTCTTGTTCTGATTACGGCACTACGGATGTATATCACAGTGATTCAAGCATGTCTCATCGTTTTTATCGAGTGAACGCAACTTTACGCACAAACTTAGCGCAGTGGTCGTCCTTGTGTGCGCATACTGTGTGCATTTCCAGGGATCTTCAGGTTGTTAAATTTAGAGTATCTCAATACTGTGCTTAATGAACATTATTCGAAACTTCTTGTTTCGCTGCTTGATTTTCTGCTCAAGTGACTGGAAGATATGTATTATTATCATTTTTTCACGATTTTGCCTTGGCATTGGAATCCGCATTTTCGAATTTAATGGATCAGAACTAGTTACCATGACAGTACATGCCACAAGATGAATCAAGAATGAGTAACAAACTCAGAAATGGAATGACAGTATCTATCGTTTCCAGTTTAATCTGAATAATTTGATATACTTCATGGCTATATTTGGTTTATATGAATAGTATTAATTTTTCAACATAGAAATTGATGCACGCCTCATTTAAGCAACAATCATAGTGTGAGTACTTGAACGTCGACAGGTTAAATCAGCTTATCGAGGATTAGAGGGTGTTTTTTACAGTTGGATCTTTTTGTCCATATTGATAAGGAACTGAATCAAAGAATATCGAAGATTGATTAAAGTTCTCGATGTATATTGGAAAAGCATAAAGTGGTTCCTCATTGTTGCCATTTTACAACAGCACGCTGGGAAGACTTGCGTCCAAAGTCGTCAGTGATAGCCTCGCCAAGCCTAGTTTATAACAGACAACGCTGTTCTGCCAGAACTTGTATGTCTAACGTGCATCGAGAAAAATATTTTAAGCAAGCCTTTGATGAAGCCGTTTCTGTGCAATTTGAAAGAATTAGGTAATGCACTGTGGAGGCATGTAACGTTGCAAAATTTGACAATTTTGAACAAGTAGAAACTGGTACAATTTTCTGCCCACTTATCCCACTCTCGATTAGTATATAGAAATTATTTCAAAAGGTGCTAATAATGTTGCCTTTTAGGTTAGTCTATATACTAAAACTATGATCATTTGTTCATAGGCTACAGTTTGCCAGATTAACGAATGACTCCTCCTAGACCAGATTTCACGGTGAATTAGCCTATCATTTTGTTTTTAGTTGCCCCGGAGTGTCACCTAAGTATGCACTCCAGGAAAGTGCGGTTTGATTAAATGCCACCAATCAACTTGAGCATAAAGGGGGGGGGCGGTTCAATACGCCTTGAAATCTGGTCTTCGTTATTCTGATGTTACCAATGAAAGTTGAGCTCGATGCTTCCATTTGAGCGAAAACGTCGGTCGATTTTTACTTAAATGCCAATACCACATGATCCGCAGGCAAACGATTGAATACATCAGCTGACCTGTTCAACGTCTGCAGTGCTTGATTTCAGAAACAATTAAATGTCGGCCACCAATCAATATATTCTCTATTCGAGTGGCTGATCGCTAGGATTTTGCTGAAAACTAAGGCAATGAGTAATCTAGACATTTCTCTCTGTCGTACATGTGGTAGATGAAGCTACCTTCGGTGAATCCATCATCAGCTCATCATCATCATCCTTCGTTGTCAATGCAAAGCAGGTTTTTGAATTCAGCTCTGATGTCGGAGTATAGGAAAAACGACAAAAATGGAAAAATAAGCAGAAATATAGTTTTTATCCACGTGACGGTGATGTCTTCCAAATAAGTGGTACCGATCTCAACATCACTCATGATGTGACTCAGTAGTTCGAACGTCAAATATGGGCCATGCAGGACGAAAAAAGCACAGAACACTAGCAGACTGTAGATTCCTCGACGGGCCTGTTCATAAAAGTCTTTGAGCTGATGAGTAGAAGCTTTGATTTTGTTGCGTTTGATTTTTCTCAGCCTTCTTCGGAACTGGTGTATCCTCAACAGGATGATAGCCATCGCAAAGAACGTAATCACCAACGGGAAGCAGGTGCACAGGATGCCTCGAATCGCAACAAATGCAGCAGGTACGCCGTACATCACGCAGGAGAGGCTGACAGGGTGAAATCGGGATCGAAAGTCATTGAAGATAACGGGGGCAAAGAACGTGATACCTATAGTCCAAATCGCAGCAAGCATCACAGCTAGGCGGCAGAAGCTCATGTGGCTGTCGTACAGTCTGGGGGATAAGGCGACGATTGCGCGGTCGACGGTCATCAGAGTCACGGCGAAGATCGTTTCGGCATCGAGTACTGAGGAAAGCCAACAGTTCCATGAACAAACGATGGGGTTCAACAGCCACTGATGACCCACCAGGTGCGACACGCTGAAAATCGCTATGGTGACGCTTTGCATCACATTGATCAGTGCCAGGTTACCGACGCACACATTAAAAACGATATTCCTCAGTCGTGAGCTGACCAAAATGTCGATGACAAGCAAGAAGTTGGTGACGGCAGAGAGCGTCATCAAAATTACGATGAATACAGTTGTGAGATCGTTCCATGAGAAAGAGGTCATCGTTGCATTCAGAATCAGCGACGTTGATAACTGCAAACGGTGGTCTGTTATTCAAGTTTCCAGCACGTCGTTGCTTGGATACCACATACACACCTCGTCTAACATAGATGCACACTTGATCAATACTGTTCAGTAGTGCTGCTGTTTAATTACGTTTAGAATTCGCGTTTAGCCAAAAGCACTTTGTTTGATTGGTGAGGAAAGACACTTGGGTATCATGCGAAACTTTAGAACTCTTAAGCAACGAATGGTGACAATTTGCAGCACTGTAATTCCTAACGCTGTCTGAAAAATTTCATGCGGAGGGGGAAAGCGACAAATGAAGCATCTGACTTCATTCTGAGAAGCCAGGCTTGGGCTCATAAAAGTTTACTGTTCAACGACTATGGCGAACAACGATAATTAAAGCAGAATTGCCTACGGTGACGTCAACGTGTTGTCTCCGTCCTCTATGATCAGCCTCAGAACAGCCATACTGAATACAGTTTAGCTGAGGCAAAGTGGGAATGTCCTGTCGCTCTGGCATCACAATCGTTTTATCTATACAATCCGTGTGAAATCAGAAAGTCATCATCATTAAATCTCGCATACTTAATTTTAGTTAAGCCGCTGAAGGGACATAGAGAAAAGCCCAAATGACAAATAAAGATATTTTTGCTGGGTTATATAAACAGAAGAATCAATAATTAGGCTTCCTTGCTATAAGGATTTTCTAATTACTGCCATTCCAGGATTTCCGATAACTTTCCGTGACTTCAGATGAGGCATATTCTCGCCGCTCCCAAATCAAACAGCGCTCTCGGGACAAATGGAATCCTGGCTAAAATGCTGGTACTGTCTAAGACTGAACAAGGTGGCGTGTTGAGCAATTTACTCAATAACTGAATGCGTTCTAAAGTCACTCTGGATTGTTGGCGGACGTCAAAAGTTACTCTTATTCCACGGACGGCTGCTCCGTACAAACAAGATGATTTTCGTCAAATCGCCCTGACTGCTGTGTTATTTAAAGCACAGGACACATCTGTTCGACCGGTACATCTCAATCGTCTTTACGGAGCTGAAGATAGCTGGCAGTTCAACTTTACACGGAACCTTTCAACCCCAGATGCTCTAGCATGCTGCATGAAATCGCTAACCTCTTCACTGGACTCTGACAATACCATTGGGACGGCCGTCTTCTTATATGCCTCACCGGATTTCAATCTCGTGCCAAGCAATGGCCTTCTCTGCTGTACGCGAAAAGCAGGTTAAGAGAATAATCTACTCTTCTGGCTTGCAGATTATTACTCTGATTACTACAGTTCGGCACAGCTGGGAGGTGCTGTTCATCGACAAAGAGAAACAATTTGGCCGTTTTACAAGGACCAGTGCTATCGCCACTGCACTTTAAATTTACGTGAGTTCCTCACGCACCGCCAGTCCTGTTTCTGGTATCAAGTGCACTGATGACAATGCGCCAATTTCCTCAATCTGAAAGGATTCTGACTTTTACTACCCCTAAAATGCAACGAAAGACACTGAGCTATGGACCAGAAAAGTGGTTTAAGATTTAACTGTCAGAAAAGCGCCCAACTAACTTGCCGGATGAAAAATATCAGATCTTCTAATCAAATCTCCCTCATCGAAAATTGTATTAACTTAGAAGAGGAGTCAGTCGGCTTCAGACACAAAAATACAATGGGATAATACAAAATATCAGACTGAACTGCTCTGATCACACGATCTCAGTGTTCGGAAAAGCCATCTAGTGCAGCTTGCCATCAAGTAAAGCAAATCAAGCTGTCTTGAACCTGCTAAATGAACCAGCACGTTTCTTCGTTTTCGGATGTACCGTTCCGCCGATCATTCACTCCAGCCCAATGACATTCTCAGGCTTTCTAAAGAAAAAAATTAGTTCACTGCATCGATACGTGATGTCAGTAACCACGACTAGCAGAATCCCTGCAGAAGAAATTTCTGGCCGCATTATGACAACAGCAGCTGCAGCTAACTGTCCTCTGGGTTACAGCATGCCGACTGATGACAGTCAGCCGTTGAACTCGAAGTTTCATTGCGCACTGTCCTTGCGTTAAATGCCTTCAACCGGTACGGGCAATCCATTCTATTCCATCTGGAAAGGATTCTGAGACAGCTAGACCCGGAAGAGCAATTACTTGTATCTAACATTCTGACTTGCCATTAACCTGCAGTGTATACACATTCCATGAAACTATTTAATGCTAGACTGACGGATGCGTGTATGCTCATAGCAACAGTTGCACAAACTAATAGACTTCACGTAAGCATCAGGAAAAGATTAACCTGAATATTTCGAACAGTATTTCATTTCACTGTTGCACTTCAGCTAAATATGCACAAGGAGTTCACCGCGCTGTGCCATCCGCTCAACCGGGCTACCGTTGCAGATCGCGGCACCATTTATGCTTTAACTGATTCTCCAATATGACGGCGTTTGTTCCAAACATTTATTTAAAGGCAACCCTGCTATTACGCTTCAATTAAAATCAATCTCGTGAACAAACGGATGAACCGAATGCAAGGAAAACGAAGTCATAAATTTTGACAGAATTAGATTCAATTTATGTAACGAATAATTGCCTCTCGTTACCGAATCAATCATGGATTAGGCACTTGCTGCAATCTCATCAGTTTTTTTCTCACTGCTCAGTTATGAATGACAAACAAATGTTTATTAAAATAACTACTTCTTGCATTTAATTTCATTCTCCTTTAAGTTTTATTTCGAAGACACGTCATTTGACTGTTAACTTTCTGCAGAACTTGCTGTAATGCATCAATCTTATCCAAGCATGTCAACAAATATGCTAGAATGCAAATATATACAAGGTTTAATATTTAATATCAGAGACTGACATGGTGTGGTGCAATATTATTTGATGATAATCAATGTTATATTTTCCACTAGGTACCATCCGTCTCGCCGAGAATGCTGTTTGATGTTTGACATTAATTGTAATTTAAGGTTCTTCTAATTCATCATTTACAAAATGTATAAGTTTGCTGTTGATCAATTGACTTCATGAAGGATTCCATTCATGCTAGAAGTTTACCTCTATATCGAACTATTTTTAATGGTCAGGTTGGTTTGATTGTCAAGATACTCGTTTCGATACAGAAAAAAGGAGACGTGTTCGTCCACGTGAAGATTCCAGTAGACATTAAGAGAGGGTGAATTGCCCCTCATTTGAGATGTGTTCGGTAAGTAGCTTGCCTGTGTGTCCTTTCGCTAGAGTATCGATGATCGTAGATGCTGTCTGTTGTCATTCGAGGCCGGTACATGTACTGCTCATCTATTGATTCGAAAAGAAAATCTCCCCGCCATGTTTTGCTTGCAAGGTCGATCTCATCGTTGGTAAGTTCCGTTCATATAAATATAAAAAGATAATGATCTTGCATATACAGTCATTGTTCTAAATAAAGTTAGATCTTGTGGACAATCAAGATTCCTAATAACAGCGTTACATCAGCCAGTTATTTTGAAAACAGCAAAGGTGTACGCTGTGTTTAATACGTCTCATTTTTCGCACGTTATCTTTAACTTTCTTTAAACGTCTTTAAATATTTTAAACCGCGGCTACTCTGGTTTTTTATCTACAGTTCTTGATTGTTTGAACATTTTGCCCCACCGCTGCACATGCTTGAATGAAACTGCGTGTAAGCTTACGTATTAGGGCATTAGGCTGTCTGCTAACAGTTTTTACTGTTTTATGTGGGGCTGGGTATCATTGATATAGTCATTATACCTAAGATTGCGTTTTCATTCTCTCAATTCGGAATCTCTTTGATTAATTTAGTCCTGATTAAATTAGGGATGTTTCAAATTTGACACGATCTTTAAATGCAGCGGGCATTTAGCATCTTTCTGTTACTCTGTATATATGCTGTTAGTCGTAGGCGAATTACACCACCTTTTGCGTTGTGTGTTCTTTTCGAAATTTTGTTTTTATTTATTAGAATTTAGGACTGATATAAAGTGGAATTGTTTACACGAGGGATTTTACTATGCAAATTTGTGCATTATATGTGCCTAAGTACAGAACGTATTTAGGAAGTAAATTGGTTAATATAAAATGATTTTTATAACAGTGATATTTAAGCTTCTAGCGATAAGTTCTGTACATTCTTGCTATTCTACATTTCCAGTGACTCTCGCTTATTTTGAGATTTCTGAACCATAAACATTGACTTCCCTGACGTAGTTCATATTTGAACCCCCTAGCATTCTCTGTTTTAGCGGTTTAGTTAGTAGTCATTTGTAGAAGCTTGTTTGTTAAAGCAAAGTAGCTGTGATAACACTTTTCTTAATATTAGAGTGAAAATTCTAAAATTAGCTTAAGAAATTACTTTATTACTAAGTTGTTATTGTGATATTAAAAGGTAATGAAAATCTTTCATCATCAATTGTCACTTGAAACTGGCATGCGGAGTTGCAAAAATCAGTAAAATTGTTAAAAGTAGGTTATGCACGCAACCGACAGTTTCGTAGCAAACCCAGAATACTGGGATATTGTTTGTTTAATTCACTTGTAATATAATTATTTCCACATCGATTTTTATTAATCATGACAATTAAATTAGTAGCATAGGAATTATGAAATCCTGTCGAAAGCAGATTAACCGTCTAAAGAAAGTCTGAGATAAACTGATCCGTTGCCCCCTGCCAGTAGTAATTTTGTGCTTTGGTGCTGAATCGAAATGTTTCGATGTAGTCTATTGGTTGGTTTACACAGCTATTCTAACCATGTACCAATAAATTGATTTAAGTTTTACATGAATTCAAAAGTTGGAGTGCGTCATGACTCGAACGGTAAATTAATTCCTGAATTCAATACTATGACTCGTAAACAGTTACAATTTATGAGGTATGCGGAAACCAAAGATTAGCTAGTGATTGGGGAAAGGAGAGTGGTCTGATATATAGTTTACCTTTTTGCACCTTAGAGCTTCTGGGTTAAAACCGAAAGCACGACACATCTTTC